ACAAAGATAGCCAGCATCCATAGAGCCATAGAAATCAATGCTTTCCATAGCTCATAGTCTTTCCTCAATCATACTCATTGTTTGATCAGTTTTTGAATTTTTTAAGGGTGCAGCTGTTTGTAACTTTATCTTTTCTTTTGTTTCATCCACTTTGAGAATTTAGATGGGCTTATCTGTACTTTCAATAAAGACTGGATTGATATAACTTTGAACATTCCCTTGACTATGTGCATAAGGCATTCTGTAATTCAAGAACGTAGTTTGCTATAGGTGAATATTTAGAGTAGTTTGGGTCTAGTATGGACCAAAATTTGAAGGGTATAGTGATTTAGTATCTTTATGTGAGGTATCTTATTTTACCTCTTTTTTTTTGTTTATCTTTTCTAGAGCTTCAAGGATCTTACTTAACTTTTTTTCTATTATTTTTTAAGTCTTTTCTAACCTTTTAAAGTAATTTGCATTATTTTAATCTATCTTTTTAACCTTAGTTTGGGTGTAATACTAGTGTTGAGCTATATTTGGATCTTGATTTTCACAATGTGCAAATTTAAGATGATGTTTATAGAACCCTCAAATTAGGTATGAAAATGAAAACAAAGACAAAATGCATGAATGCAATAAGAAGAATTTATCACATAACAATTGTTACCAAAGAAAATCTTTATTGAATTAAAAGTCACTTTTAACCAAATCTAACATTACATCCATAAAAAGTCTAAAACTACTGGAAAAAAAAATTCATAGCTTGTTGATACTAGCTTTGCACTTCATTAAGGAAATCCATCAATTTTTGACCATGTGCTCTTACTGGTGGCACCTTTGTTTTTCATTTTTCAATCACTTCTACTATATCCTTGGCTTTGTAAATAGCCACAATGATTCGGTTCAATAAAGACTTCAATTGGTTATGTTTTTGCACATATGCTTATTTTATTTGTTGACATTCTTTAGTCATGGCCTTCATTTGTGCTTTGATTCCTACCATTACTCCATTTAGCATCTGGATATGCTTTTAGGCTTTAAGGAGCATTGCATCCTTTTCTTGTAGTTTTGCTTGCAACTGTCTATTTTCTTGCAAAAGTTAAGCCACTTCTTGGTTAATAAATGATCGTGTTGTATTAAGGTTAATGCACAAACTCTTCCACCCATCTTTTTCTCGTTCTAGTATTTAGACTTCTTTTTTTAGCTTATTGTTTGTATTTTCAACTTTTTAAACTCTCTTTTTAGGCTAGTAGAGGACTTTGCTAGGCTTTCCATAGATATAATCGAGATTTTTCTTGTTAAAAATTATTTCATGACAAATATTCCTTATGATTGATCTAATGATATGAATGCATGATAACGAAAAAGGGTTAGTAAAAAATGATATGTAAAAAGTAACTTACAAGTTAGTATACAAATATATACAAAAAGACAATACATAGTCTTACAAGTAAAACAAACATCCAATCATGTGTCTTATTTAGGATTTTTTAACACAAGAGAAAGCATGGCTCTATCTAAGTTCGGACCTTTATGGTTAAGTATATGTGACTTGGATTACTTCTAAAAGGTTCTCAAATTATTTCTTACATTATTGTCTATCATAGACTAATAAAGTATCCCAATCCTTGCCCATTATAGACTACAAGTAGAAAATGTTCAATTTGAGTATGAGTGTTTCATAGGTCTATACGGAGACATGAAATCTCACGAGGGCATAGGTACTTCATTCCCTCTTAAGGGTAGAGCTCAGGTGGAGAGCTTTATGTTATGCACATGCAAATAAATGATAGATATATACGATAAATAAATAAATAAATAAATAAATAAGTAAATATAAAGTAGTAAATGGAAAAAAGAAAATAATCCTAAATTTATTAGGCCAAGCTTGGATGATAAGAAATTATTTACTGACTTGACTTTCGATATCTCTAGTGGAGTCATCAAACTATCATAATATATAGATCTATGGACCTACCACTAGACATGAATTAGAAGAGTCGTCACCAATCTTTTTTGTTAAGATGTGATTGGTCACCTAATCGAATATGATCCATGAAACTAGATTTAGGTTTGAGAGTACTGTTATGCATGAGAAATTTTTAGCACCCTCATAGTGCCCATCTAAAGATGGTTCCAGTTTGATTTCAAATTATCCATGCCTTAAAAATATTTATGCTTTTACCAAAATATTAAATATTGAAAATTAGTCTTAAAATTATCCCTATAGTTTGGTACCGATTTAAGATAATTCTCTCACCTCAAGAGCATTTATAGAGACTAGTGTCCCGCTTTGAAGAAGTTTCGTAGTCATATTTATTGATATTTATTTTTTTATTCAAGAAAAATTAATAAAGTCTTTCAATAATTTGGTAGGATTTACTTTGGAACAGATCTTTCAATAATTTGGTGAGATTTTATTATAAAAAGATTTATGAAAATTTTGAGAATTTTATTAAGTCTCCTAATAGTTTGGTAAAACTTAATTTAGAAAATAATCCTCCAATTGTTTGGAGGATAAAACATTTTTTAATTTTGTTTTTCATTTTTTAAAAAAATTGATTTATGAAATTTCTCCATAGTTTGGTAGATTCCATAAATTTATTTGAAAAAGATTTATTTTTATTTTTATTTTTTTGTATTTTAAACTTATTTGAAAAGTTTTTTTATTTATTTTTTTATTATTTTTTATTTTCCAAAAAGAAAAGATTTTTTTTAGATAGATATTGAATTACTCAATGTAAATAAATAAATAAATAAATAAAAACCAAAAAAATAAAATAAAACTTAAAACAATGAGATAAAAAATAAAATTAAAAAATAAAATGAAAATGAAAAAAAGGGAAACTTGTGATTCGGGTCAGGTTAATACGCGGATCCTAGTCAGGTTATCGCAGATCTAGGTTCTCCAAAACATTGTCGTTTTGAGTTGCTGTATAAGCCACTTTTCAGCATTTTTTTCAGAAGTTCTCAACTTTCTCTCTAAACTGAAATCCTCTAACCTTTCTCTAGAAGAACCCCAAGAACACCGTTAAAAACTGAAAAAGCCCACCAATTTTAGAAAAATTGGCCAAAAAGTGGTCTAAAAACTCAAACATCACCAGAAAATTCAACCAAAAAATTCATCTTTCATTGAAAAATTTATCCCAAACCTAGATTTTTTCAGAAAAACCCAAAGTTGTTAGATTTTTTTGGATTTGTCCAGATTTCTTCATAAACTCTTTAGAATCCTAATCCAAACCCCAAAAACCCAAATCTAACCCAAAAACTTCAAATCAAACCCAGAATTCCCAAAATCAAAATCTCAAATATTTCTTACTGCTTAGAAAATTTTTAGAACACCCAATTCACTCTCTTTTTTAACAATCAATCGTACTTGTTTCTTGTGATTCTTGGTTTGATTTATAAGCACTCTTAGGATATCCTTTAAGAAACAAACAAAACCGATCCAAGCTTAAATCCTGGGATTAGATTTTGCTCGAGCATAATTTTAGGATTCTGATTTGATCCCAATTGAATTTGTCAATTATTCAGACTTGATTCAACATTAAAAACATTTGACTATGAAATTCTAATATGCTTGATTCAACATTTCGATTTCGTAAAATTCTTGTTGCAAATTGAACAAGAAAAAAGAATAAACACATAATAATAATAATAATATATACTAATATAATATAATAGTAATGTAATATAACATATAATAATAATATGATATAGTAATACAAAAATAATGATTGTAAAAAAAAATCAATTCAATAGACCTTAGATATAGATGGGTATCTACACACATGTATATAATATTTTTTTATGAGACATATATATATATAATTTTTTTAATAAAAGATATCACATTATTAAAATAAAAAAAGATACAAGTTTTTTATATTTAAATTTTAAATTTGTCAAAAATTACATTTTAAAGGTAAATTTGTAAATTAACTAAATTAAATCATATAATATATATAATATACATAATATAGATTTTAAGATTACTACATAAGAATTATGCCTCCAGGTGACTTTTGGATCCAAAGCATGGTAAATTTTATGAGTTCATCATTTGGACATTCTCTGTAAAAAAAATTGGCCTTTTTTTAAGCAAAATGAAAAGTAATAGGTAAAACTAAAGAACCAATTTTTTTTTCTAAGTTGAAGGCCCAACAACTGAAAAGTATGATAATAGAACAATTAATATATATAATATATATATATATAGAGAGAGAGAGAAGGAGCGAGAGAGAGGCATAATAATCAGTTGGGTTGACATTAGTTTTTATTTGAGTTGTTTTAGAGCCGATTCTTTAATATATATATTTAAATTTGATTTGATATTAAAATATTATTTTTTATATTTGATTTAAATATTCATAAATTACATTCGATTCAATTTAATTTAAAATTAATTTAATAAATTATTAATTTTAATATAAATTATATCTTAATTATTCTTAAATATATTATTTTTATCAAGTTAATATCTTAATTAAAATATTAAATAATAATTTTATAATATAATATATACATAAATATAAAATTAAATAAATAATAAAAAATATTATATATATATATATATTTAGGTTGGGTCATTGAACTCCAAATCCAATTCGAACCCAACATGAAAAAAAAAGAACATGACTCGACTTTTGATTTAAAAATAAAAATTAATTTTATGAAATAAAGATAAATCAAAACTCATCAATTATACGTTATTTTATCATTTTATATATATATATATATAAAAGTTTCCACAATAAAATTTTTTCAAAAAAAAAAGTAGATAAAAATATAGATTTATCAATTTATATATTTGTATTGTATTATTTAATGTAAAAGAAAATATAAATTACAAAATTATCTTATTATAATTCTCATTAAAATATCATGTATAAAATATATATTTTTTATTTTGTTAAAATCCGTATGATTTTTATAAAAATTTAATCATATTATTTTTATATCTATTTATATTTTCTTTCACGTTATCATGTTGCATATAAAGTGAAAAAATAAAAACTAATAACACCAATAGGAAAAAAAATTCTTCTCTTTCTCCTTCTCCCTTCCTTGTGTAATGCAACTAATTTCTACCGTGACTTTCTTTATAAAAAAAAAGGTCTCATTCTCAATTTCTCATCAGTTAGTAATTGGAAAAACAACAGTGGTGACTCGTCAGAGACAGAGAAAGACTCCTTAGAAGTCTAAAACGCGTCCTGGGGCCTTCTTTTTTCTTCACTTTATATTTTTCAATTCGATTGAACTTCAAAGCTTTCAGCTTTCTGTTGTTTGAATACCATAAAAAAGAACAAAGAACCTTGATTTTAGAGTAGTTCCATTGGGTTTTGGTCTCTGTTACAGAAGAGAGGCAGATCTGTTTCCTTTCTTAGCAAAAAGCTGATGGGGAGAGTAAAGCTGGTCTCTCGGTTTACTGTTTTGTTCTTGTTGTTGGGTGTCTTCGCTTCTACTTCTATTTCAGGTATTTCTCAAAAGATTTTACTACTGAATCCATTATTCACCTTCTGATTTGTGATGATTTGGATGCAGATGGCTCTTTCATTTCTACAGGAAGGAATCTCCTTCAGGCCAAGAAAGGTTCTTTTTTTTTTTTCCCTCATATTGTCATTTAAATTTTACTTTCTCTTTCTGGGTTCAATTTTGTTAAAGCATTTGCTACCAGATCTGATGCCTTGGGGTTTTCTTGTCTTGTTGTAAGCCTTCTTTCCTTCATATTGGATCATAGTAAAGGAAATACATGAGTTTGATTGATGTGTCACACTAGTGATTTAGCCGTAATCTCAGATGATGAAATTTTGCTTATTTTTTATTAGGTGTTAATGTCACATATGGCTTTTGATCCATAGTAATTGAATTTTAGGGTTGAATATTATATTAGTTTACAAATTCATAATTCAAATACTATATTAAAGATTTTTAAAGTTCAAATACTACATCGAATATTTTACTATAGTTCAACATTTATTCATGACATTAACTCTTAAAAAATGTTGATCCCATCTTAAAATCTCTTGGAGCTTATAGATGATAGTTTAAAATCAAACTTTTTACTGGGCTCTGTTGTTTAACTATGGAAGGGCGTTAAACATGATATACTATTATGTTACTTTATCTGCAGCTTGCCCAGTTAACTTTGAGTTTCTGAACTACACAATTATCACAAGCCGATGCAAAGGGCCTCAGTATCCACCTGCTCAATGTTGTTCAGCATTCAAGGAATTCGCGTGTCCTTATGCAGAGCAGATCAATGACTTGACAACTGATTGTGCTACAACTATGTTCAGCTACATTAATCTTTATGGGAGTTATCCTCCAGGTCTTTTTGCCAGTGAGTGTCGTGAAGGGAAAGAAGGGCTTGCATGCCCTGCACTATCGCCATCAGCATCAGAAAATGACAATGCTAGCGTTAGTCAGCTAACATGTAATCCATCACTGCTGCTAATGGCCACAGCTGCCTTCCTAATGTTTTTATTCATGTTGTCATGACAAGCCTGGAAATGAATTCCATTTATCCCATTTGTTGATTTCTATTTCTTTTTCCCACTTTTAACATTGTTAACATTTCAGTCTCTTCAGCTATGCTTTTCTTTGTACTTTCATAAATGTTGTAGAGATAATAAATTTCGATTGGCAATACCGGAAATTTAGTTTATGTACCTCATTGGAATGCTACTCGTAATAGTTGGGAAGAACTGTGCTTTCACTTGTAATTTGCAGCTATCAATTGAGTTTATGCTTTACTATGTGATCTGAGATGCAAGCAATATAAACTATGTTGGCATGTTTTAAGTATTTAAAGTTTGTTGATTTATTATTCCCATTCTTTGTAACTTTTTATGATCATATCAGGTTGAGTTGAGTTTTTATTCGAATGGATTTGGTGTGTTTTTCGAATTCGGAATAGAATTGACATGAATGAGTCTACATGTACAAATTCAATTATATTTTGTTTGGTTCAATAACTATTTATTCATCATATCCACATGAAATGTTCAACTATTAGATTTAGATATACTAGCTAGAGATGAAAAACGAATAAGAATTGACTTGAAAATCTTTTAACACAAATGGATTGGACATTAGAGGAAAATTCAAAAAATAAATAAAAAAGAAGTCCCTAACAAGATTAAGACCCTCCCAAGTCCAGAGCTTTATATTTCAAGCTGTTGGCGCTAGGTGTTTTTTCTATCGAGTGGCAGCCGCAGCCTCAGCCTCTTAATTGCTCTCAGGCATCCTCTGCTGCTTCACTAATGTACGTTCTTCTCTTCTCTGTTCGAATGGTTACTCAGAAAATGTTGGAAACTAGGGAAAACAAATTAAAAAAGAGAAGTAAAGGAAACAAAGGAGAATTTTGGTATTTATTTGCTGTTGTTACTGTCTTGTGCAAAATGAAAAAATGAGTTTCAAAATACACATTCTGAGCAGTGTTATTTGAGAAATGGGTTTTTTTTTTTTTTTTTTTTTTTTTTTTTTTCTGTCTTCCTTTGTTCTTCTGCAACTTATCTTTTTATTTTCTTAAACTGCTGGGATTATGATGGGAAAGGCATTTTGCTAACTTGATGTATCATAGGCTGGTAGTTTTATTCACTTTAGCAAATAGCATAGGGTGTTGTTCGTTGCATTTGCCGCTAATAAAATCCTTATTGTTCACTGATTTTAGTCTATTGGTATTGGTCCTCTGCCTAAATTGTTTCCTTCTGTTTGTGTTTTTCATGGAAATGATAACTAAAACATTATAAGCTATACTTACCCCTTTCACATAAAATCGTTAGTATTGAGGTATTTTTGGGTTGGTGAGATGGAATTCATGGATATGTTTAAGAAGAGAGCATGTTTGACCTGTCAAGCAGGAAAGAATGGTTAAAGGGGCGTTGGAGTTATGATTTCGGGGCGCATTTCGACTCTCAAATTAGGGAGGGATTATATGAAACAGGTGGTGCAATACTTGCATAATAATGACAAAAAATTAATTTAGTTTTAGTTTGGTCCTTTATCTTGTAACTCCTATATCTAAAGACATAATTACATGGTTCGGGTCAAGTGTAAAGCATGCATATTTTCTTTACTAATGGGTATGGTCTATAAATGGCATACAAGTGGCATCATTGGAGCTTGTCTAGATTATTATCCTTTTGTATGTCTCATGGGTTTGGTCTTGTCTTGGGACTTTAGTTTAGAAGAGGCTCAAGAAAGTATTCAAGTTCAACACGAGGCTGGTTATAACGTGATTGTCCTTAGTCCTATTAAAATTTGGAAAGGTATTTTGATTAGTACGCTTTTATACAGACAATCATTTGATAAAGTGATCACACCTGTTGTTTCAAAGAGCATCCTTCTTGAAACTTTGCCCGCTTCTTTCTAGCAATACTCCTTTTACCTATAGAAACACATAACAAACGAAAAGAAAATTCTAAACCTAACATTAAGATTGAACAAATTCGGTTAGAGCAAGAACCATCATAGTCAATTGATTTATGGAAGCAAAAAGAACTTGGGAGAGATATAGCCGAGCAAAATAGTTTCAAAGCGAAAAGAACAAGAAAGCATACAGAAAATGGAAGTCAGAAACAAGAAAAAACAAAAGAAAAGCTAAGAGAAGAAAAAACTAATAGGGGTATTTATAGAAGCTCTTAGAACGAAAAACCCTAGGTCAACAAATCGGATGAAAATGACGTCGTAACCCGCAAATGCTAGTCATAATGTGCCTTGTGTTTTGCTAGAAAAAATGCAGCAGATGATGCATTGTTCGCCTTAATGCCACTGCTACATGTCCGCAAAAGAGAGGAAGCTAGTCATTTAAGATTGCATCTTTTAATGCGTGTACATTACATATGTAGTCTAAGTGTCGCATTGAAATTAAAAAAGAAACAGCTCAAAGTGTATAAGATTAGCTAAAGTATATCCTGTAGGCAATCATTCGTCAGTAAAACATTGATTGTCATTGATTGTCACAAGGCGACCATCAACTGACAATCATATAATTTGCCTCTAGGTGACCATCAACCGTAGTTGCACGGTGATCACTTCTCGGAAACCTCAACTTCATACGCGTGTTAGATTAAAGGCATCTGATCACAATACCTTTCTAATTTCAAATAGATCTAAAGGCGATCATTATATAATAGCCTTTATTTCTAAAGGCATTTGTTGGACCCAAATACTCTTATAGGTTAAAGGTTCAAGACAAAATTAGATTCATGAGACTTGTAAGTGAAAAATAGTCTAGATAAGTTTCAAAGTTGTCACTTGTATGTCACTTGTTCTAGTTAGGTCTTGTCCATGGGTAAAGAAGGTATGCACGCATCACATTTAGTTCCAGTCATGCAATTATACCTTTAGATATAAGAGTTGTAAAGTACCAAAAAAAAAAAAAACCTAAAGCTAAATTGATTCTCTGCCATTGTTATCTTTCTTACTCGCAGCACTTGCCTTAATAGTCATTAACTTAGCATTAGAGCATGTATCGAAATCTAAGGGCCTTAAATGAATCGAACATGAATGAACTTTGTTATGTTCATGATTTTTTTGTTTAATTAACAAACTATAAGATGTTATTCGTAATTGTTTGTTAAACTTAATAAATGAATATAAATAAACATAAATTAAGCCTCTTTGTGAATTGTTCGTCGAACGTTATATTAATTTTCATAAACGAATCTTATATAAACAAACTTTGCTTTGTTCATAATTTGTTTGTTTAACTATCGAACCATGAAATATTGTTTGTGATCGTTTGTTAAGCTTAATAAACAAACATAAAAATGATCACAAATCGAATATGTTTATGAACAACTCATCAAATGTACTGTTTGTTGACACCCCTATCAAAGTCCTAATTTTGACCTTCCTTTAATCATTCTTTTTTTCTTCACAAGTTGGACGTGCTCTCTTTTAAGAATACTAGTGGAATCTATCTCACCAATCTTAAAATTACTCTGCTTGGTTTGTTGGTTTCTTCGTAAGCCTCGGTTTATCCTTGTCTTGAAATTATCCTTGTCTTGAACAATGTTTTTATATACTTTAAAATTACTAGAATCCTACCTAATAGCTTAAGCCTAGTCTGTGCTTATTCATTTATATCAAACTCGGTTTTCCCTGATTGTATATTTTCTTTCCCTTCAGCTAGAGGTTTTTATTTATATACTTTATCTTTATTTCTCCCCGTTCTAACTCTGAAGCCCAGAGTCATACTAGATTCGTTTTTCTTCCTCTTCTCTTTGCCAGAGCAGCTAACTATCTGAGATGGGTCGTGTTCGCACTAAGACTGTGAAGAAATCCTCACGTCAGGTCATTGAGAAGTACTACTCTCGCATGACCTTGGACTTCCACACCAACAAGAAGATTGTTGCGGAGTTTGCTCTCATTCCTACAAAGCACCTTCGGAACAAGATTGCTGGCTTCTCTACCCACTTGATGAAGCAGGTTCAGAAGGGTCCGGTTCGTGACATCTCACTCAAGCTTCAAGAAGAAGAGCGTGAGCGTCGCATGGACTTTGTTCCCGATGAGTCAGCTATTAAGACCAATGAAATTAAGGTCGACAAGGAGACTCTTGACATGCTTTCTGCTCTTGACATGGCTGATATTCCGGGTCTTGTTGAAGTTGAACCACAGGCTTTGATTGCTCCCCCAGTTTTTGGTCGCCCAGGTGGTGCTGGTAGGAGATTTTAAGGTTATTTTGGCCTTTGCAAGTCGTTTTGAGACTAAACATGTTTTGATTTTGTTGCTTAATATTGTTTCTACAAGTTAATTTCAAACTTTTGGATGGATGACATGGGACATGGGCTTTTTTAATGCTGAATTTGGATAAAATTTTGGTACTTTAAGTTTATGATGACTAATAATTGATTTTTGTTAAATGTGATAATGGTTCGAATCAGATTTGATTTTTTTGAATATTACATAATATTATTAAAATTTAAAATTCAATTCAACTTCGAATTGAACTTTTATTTGATATGAATCAAATCGATGTTCGATTCAAATCAATTTATCGATTTTTAATTTTTATGTATTATTTTAATATAAAATTTTAATATGTTTAAATAAATTTTAATATAAAATTATTTTTTTTTATTTTATAAAATTTAAAATATATATAAAAATTAAAATATATATAATTCAATTTGATTAAATTTTTTTTTATTTTTATCTCTCGACTTAAAATTTAAGTTGAATTTAATATATATATTTAATATTCAAATTTAATTTAAATCGAATAAAATAAATCCACCAAAATTAAATCAAACATTATAGTTTTGAATCAAATTTTGAATTTTTCAATTTTTTTTTTGTCAGCAATATTAATTTTTATGAAAATGCCGAGCAATTTTTATTAATATTGACAATAATGTAGTCAATTACATAAGCAGCATCTCATTGCACAACACAACATTGTTTAAGTATAATCACTCTGTAATAAATTGTATTAAAAATAAAGTTCCCTGGAGAAAAGAACTAAAAAGAACTAAGGTTCAATTGACTATAACATGAGGAAGAAGCTCGACCTTAGAGAGTAATATTCACCACATGAGGTTGATTCTCGACTTGCCTCGGAACTGCTTCTTTTTTATGCACCAGGATGCTGGGAAGGTGCTTAACTACAATATCATAAAAACGCGTAGGTCCATGTTAGTGTTTATCATGCAACATCGAGTCTAACACTTGAAAAACACGAAACTCTAATTGTCTTGTCAAATAAACCACAACACTTCACATTCTTGAATCATTTCTTAAATAAGAAAACAATCACGTCGGGCAAATGGAAATCAAAATTTGAATGCAAGTGAACTTCAACAAATATTTTCATGCAGAACGTAATATTCTTATATGTTATACACCAAGCAAGTTCATAGATATAGTTCGGTAGCTTACATTGCTGATAAACTTTGCCCCAAACCATGCGCTATTTGCACCATGAGTGGGAGGAATGACTTTTATTCCATTCGCTTGGGAAGGGTGAAGAAGCTCGTGTAGTTCCTTCTCCAACCTTTCTGGGGAGGGTTCAAACATACACAAATGTCAGATATATTATTATAGTCCGTTAACTCGAAATGAAAATAAAAAGAATGATGAAGACTGAAAATGCAGTTTCTACCTGCAAGTCCTGGTAAACATGCAGTTCCCCCTGATAAAACTACAGTCTTGAACCAAGTATCATCACCTGTCAAATCTGCAGCATGGCAATGGTCCATGCAAAGTGCTACTGCTTGATGCAAACCCATGGCACGCCTGTACCAAGATACTATTTATAACATTCAATATTTTCTTTCTTTGTGTTTCAATTTTGAATCATTTTCAGGATGTCAATAAGATCTCAAGAATAGCACCTATACTCCATTAATCTTAGATAATTCATAAACATTCAATATTTTCTTTAATTGTACGTAGTTCCTCAAGGATATTTCATTTTTGAATCATTTGCAATTTGTGAAGTATCATTAATAACTCACGAATAGCACTTGTGACCATCCTTGAGGATCCAAGAGGAACAAAATTAATAGGTGCTATTATTACGGACTTACACTCCTGCAATGCGTGGCTGGAATAAGATCTCTCCAGTTTGAAAACGTTCCTTTGATAGAGTAAACCACCCCACTGTTGGAACCTTCAATGATGCTTGCGTATCTTTTGATAGTTCTGTTTTATAATCAGCAGCGACATAGCATAGGTTCTGTATTTTAATCAAACTAAAAGATTATCAAAAATTTGAATGAATATATTGCCAATTACAGCAAAAAGGAAACAAAATGGTCTTGATGAACTTCATAGTGGTAAGCACTATGAGTGAAAGTGTGGAGTCTCCAAAGGTAAGGCACTGATTCCAAAAGGGTGCAAAAGCACCAAAGCAACAAAGATTAATTTATCACCTTTTGAGATATCAATTAAGCACATAAACTATGCAATGATAAATTATATATTTAATAATAAATCAAAAGTATGTTTTAAGTTGGATTCAGTGTTCTGGAATTACCAATTATCAATAATTTTTCGGCAAGGGAACAATAAAAGGGTGGTTATCCTTCTACTAGTCAAACCATAGAAAGGAAACAGCATCCATCCAAAGTTGCAAAGGATTACAACATACCTCTTTTAGTGTCCGCACAGTGTACAATGATTCAAAGTTAATATTGTTCTGTTGCATGAGTTCCCTGAGGAATCCTGTTAGTTTCAATGCTCCCATTCCAACAACTTCAACCCCCACGTGATGCATAACTTTACCATGTAAAACTATATAACACGTACAGAAACCATATAAATTGAGAAATCAATAATTCCAATGCCAAAAAGAAAAAGTAGAGAAATATACACACTGGGCAGAAAAGAATCACATCGATCAGTTTTTTTTAATCACCTTTCTAACAGGAAATATGAAAAAGAAAGGACCAAGGAGATGACATACGCAAAAAGAAACCAGAAAAAAATTTATAATAAAAAAATTGATAAATCACCACTAATGTATAAAAATTATTCACATATCAATCAACCAAAGATTAAAAACTTGAGACAATTCAAGCACTTACTTGGAACAACAGATGTAACTTGGAAACCAATGTTAACAACAATTCCAGATGTTCTCCTTGCTGCATAGAGAGCTAAAGTTGCCTGCATTCAATCACATGCAAAAGTCATTGAGTTTAGATAAAAGGAATAACAGAAGACACTCTGTCTCTTAGGGACTAAGTTGGAGGGAAACCAATTTCCCCATAGATAACTAAAATAGGGAAAAAAAAAAGGTTTTCCACATTTTGGTCTTCGAAAAAGATGAAAGGTTCATTCAGCTTGTATTGTTCATGAGCTTTGGGAGCCGGAATAAGCATCATCAACAATCATGGTTGTCGTGTTTTTTTTTCCTTTATTACTCTTTCTCTTTTGGTTGTTTCTTAAAAGAATAATAATCACTAGTTAGTCTCCAGATTACAAAGATGTACCTGATCGACAGCACAAACAGCAGGAACATTCATGTCAAACAAGACTGTGTGGATGGCATCTTTAAGTTGCCTTCTTGATGCTTTGGCAGATTCAGTATCTGGAGTAATCAATCCAGAAGAAAGGTGAAAATCTGAACATTAACCATGCAAAAGTCCAACTATTACTAACCACAACTAAACTTTACATAATCAGGTCTGACCAAAATACAACAGGAATCTTCTCTTGTTCATAGAGGTAATTCAGATCTCAGCATCAAAGTTTTCCTATGATTTCCATGAAGAGAATTATGGAATGCATGCAGACTTTACAATCATTACAATTATTAATTTGATAATCAAAGCTGAATAGGAGTGTGATCCTCTGCTCTGCATGTTGGAGAAATTGGCCAATACATCCACAGGGAAGCTTATGAACCCAAATTAAATGGTTACAAAGCCATAATATAATGAGCATACAACAAAACGGAAGTGAAGAAGAGCAACGGTCTAGAGAGGATATTAAAGTTGTCTAAAAGTCAGTATAGCTCTCAAGAGAGTCTTGCTTTTATTCCAACAAAATCATTACAAGAGTTTCATAAATTGAAACATTCAAAATCATGATAATAAAAAAAAAAAAAGAAAGGAAGAAGATAGCAGCTAACCATCGTAATGGCATAATGGAATGGACAGTACAATTGGCTGAGTGGATGGTTTAACCTGCATCCTGTATAAGGTAAGTTACTTTGAGTGATGCAACGTACAAATGCCCCATGCAAGAGAGAGTTTAAAAAAATTAGAGGAAAGCCAAAGAAAGGAATGACCAGTTGCAAATTAGATTCAAAAATAAAAATACAACAACAAACCTGCTATAAATAGTTGCAAAAAAATATCGAAGTCTAGAATACATTGGAGATTCGATGTTACCAAACTCCTGGCAAATTTTAGATTAACATCATGATTATACATATACAAGGAAGGTGAAGCCATATCTGACAACAGAATGGGGTTTCCCACATCTAGACAATTCATCTCTGTGCTCACCAGAAATGTTGCTGACAGCCCAGATGGACAAGCATACTTGCTCCAGCCAAACTTGCAATAGCCAGAACCACCTTTTTTAAGTTTTCAAAGGGAAAAAAAAAAAAAAAAAAACTCAAAGACAAAAATCAACAGCAGTAAAAAATAAAAATAAAAGTTCAAGCTTTTTTTACACAAAGCAGGCCTCTAAAATAGAGGAAGGAGTTGCTGGTACCGAAATTCGAAACCCATATCTACTACAAGACGGGATGGTTGGGTAGCTGCATGACCCAACTGAACTAAACTTCAGATTCAAAAGGGCCAGCTTTTAACTTTGTTACAACACAGTTAGCTTTGGGCATAATTGGCATAAAGGGTATGGTAATTGAGAGATATTTACCATCAATAATAACAGAACCAGGGACTTGTGCACGCTGACCATAAATGCGCATGAAAGATAACTCCCCTGTCTGACTTGGGAATGTTCTGAAATCACAATATACTATGTTCAATTACTCCCACACTGAATATCAAACTCCTGAGAAAAAGTTAAATTGAATCGATATCCTGTTTCAACCAAATTCGAGCCAAATTAAAGCCAACCCCCAAGCAGGATTGATCATCAATTTCAGTCAATCAAGATCAAACATTTCTTATAAATTGAAAAGAAAACAAAGAAACCCAAGTTCAAGTAGGCGAGGAAAGGGTGAGCATGTGGTTGATTGGATTTGGTGGGAAAGAAGAGGAAAGCAAAAAGGGTACGAACTGGAGAGGATAACCGGATCTCAAATTCAACTCGGCGAAGAAAACAGAGTCCCACGGTTCGAGTTGGTGATTCTGGAGAAAGTAAACCCAGAGTCGATTATCGGAGACCAACAATCTCCAGGCTCTGCTGACGCAACTCAGCTTGACGGCGTCCTTGGGCCCGACCAACCTGACAATCTGCACCAGAATATCCAGCGGAATCTCATCGAACAACGGACCCAGCGACGAATACGATGACGCCGTTGCAATAGCTGAAGAAGAAGAAGAAGTTAAAGAGGACCGATAGGTGGCAGAGTCAGAGGTCGAACAGGAACGATTGGAGACCGATTCCCAGACCTTCCTCAGCAGCGTGGCCATGGATGGTGTGCTGTCAATGTGTGAAAAAGAGGAGTATTTTCTCATGTCGGATTGGGATACAGAAATCGAGAGGACAGCGGAAGAACAGGGGAAGGTTAATTCAAGGCTAAAGGCTGGAGTGGGTGGAGATGGACTCTTAGTTCTTCCCTCTGCAACTTGACGATGACGTGGAAAGACACTGAGATGACACGTGGCGAAATAATAGATTGCGGCTTGGACTCGTGGAAAACGGTTAACTCCAAAAAAAAAAAAAAAAAAAAAAAAAAAAAACCAGTCAAGAAAAAATCGCTCCCTTACGATTAAAACACAATCAAACTCGTATTTGATAAGATTTTGATTTAATTTAATTTTTTAAATTAAATTTTTTTAAAAAAATTAGATATTATATCAGGTTAGATTAAATTAAATAATAAAAAAAATTAAGGCTGAGTCAATATCAAATTTTAAATAAATTAGACTTGATATATATAAAAAATTATTTTTTAATTATTTATCTAATTTATATTTATATTTTATTTAATTTTATATTTATATTAAAATAATATTTTATATTTTAAAAATAATATTTTATTAATTTCGAATGATATTGAATCGAATATGATTTTATATAATATCGAATTAAATCAAATTTAAATTATAAAAAATTTAAAAAAATTATCGAATTGTATCAAATTTGAGACGAGTAGAAATTTGATCTGTCATGATCCGTTGTCATCCCTAACAAGGAATCATCCTTAAAAAGAGTTTTACATTTTTTATTTTTTTAATAATTGATTTTAAAAACTTTAAAAATGGCATCAAATTATTTTTTTATTTCTTTCATCTATTTAAATTAAAGATTAGAATTTTTTTAAATTTTATATTAATATAAATTGATTTCTTTCCAACTTTAAATCCAATAATAAACCTGTAAATATTAATTTGGATTCAAAAAATTTATTTAATTCATTCAAATCAAATTTAATTCAAATTAATTTAATTATAAAAAATCAATATTTTAAATATGTTCAATTCAAACTTTGAATTTAAATTAATCCTTTAAACTCAAATTAAATCGAATTAAAATTGATTCATATTAAAATGATCTAAAAAATTAATCTAAAATAATCTAAACCTAAACGAAGTATAATTTTATTTTTAAAAAATATTAATTTAATAAAAATAATAAATATAACACAAATTATCAATTGATTTTAATTTTATAACTTTAAGTTTTTTTAAAAAATTTTTTCTTTATTACTACAAATTATTTCTATTATTATAATATAATTAATTTTATGTTTTATGTTTATTAGTATATATTATAAAGTCCTTTTTTTCCTTTTTTTTACTTTGATAAATAATTAAATAGATCGATTATAAATTAATAATTTTAAAGTAAAAATGTTAATAATAATTCAATAAAATTAATTATAATATTTACTTTAAGCATTTTATTATAAACTTCATATAACAAAACCATTACTTTTGAAAATAGCTAAATAAACTATAATGCTGTAGCCATTTAAACATAGACTATAGAACTTGCCTAATATTTTCTTTTTATTATTGGATAGCCTTTAGTCTAAAAACTAAATTATAGTTTATAGCTTTTGGTCCAATTTTTTTCATTAACTTATTAATTATAATTTTTAGTCCAAATAATAACTTATAATTTATAACCTTTGCCTTAATTTTTTTTTATTAACCAATCACTTATAACCTAAAGCCTTTAGTTCAAAATTTTTTTTCTAATAATATATTGGCTATAGCTTTTGTCTCAAATACTAACCTATAGCATATAACCTTTGACTCAAAATTTTCTTTTTATTATCTTATTGATTGGTGCAAATAATAACTTATAATTTATAGCATTTTGCTTAATTTTTTCATTTTTTTAACTTATTGTTTATCAAAATTTTAACCTATAGCAAATAGCATTGTGCCCAAAATATTTCTTTTTATTAAACTATTTGCTATAACCTTTGGTCTAAATACTAGCTTGTTATACTTGGTTTGAAAATTTCTTTTCAGTAACCAATAGTTATAGCTTTGGCCTAAATAAAAACTTATAACATGTTGCCTTTAACCCAACTTTTTCTTTTTATTAACTTATTAGCTATAGCTTTTAATTCAAAATAGTAGCTTATATATCTTTTGACCCAACTTTTTTAACTTATTTTTTATAGCCTTTGGACCAAATACTAACTTATAATTTATAACTTTTGTCAAACATTTTTTTTATTAATCTATTAGCTATAATATTTGCCTATAACAGTTACTTATAACTTATAGCCTTTGGCCTATAATTTTTATTCTATTAATCTATTGGTTATAATCTTTGGCCCAAATATAATTTATAGCCTAAGCCCGCAGTTTTTAATTTATTAACCTATCAAATTATAATCTATATCATATAGCATTTAGCCCAACTTTTTTATTTTTATTTTTATTAGATATTGGCTATAACTTTTGTTCTAAATATTAACTTATAGTCTATAGTTATTCGTAAAATTTTTTATTTTTACTAGTCTAGTTGTTATAAGCTTAGGATTAAATGATAACCTATAGCATGTAACCTATGACCTAGCTTTTTTATTTTATTAACTTATTGGTTATACCCTTTGGATAAAATACTATCTTATCATTTATAATTTTTTGCACAAGTTTTACATTTTATTAACCTAAGAGTTATAGCTTTTGACTCAAATATTAGTTTATAGCCTATTGTCATTTGCCTAACTTTTTTTTTAATTAACATTTTAGCTATAGCCTTTAGTTCAAATATTAACATATTACTTATAGCTTTGGATCTAATTTTTTTCATTTAATTAACCTATTGGTTATAACTTTTGGTTTAAATTCCAACCTATAAAATATAATTTTTCTCTTAATGTATTTTTTTTCTTAACATATTAAACATAGTGTTTATCACAATTTATAACCTATAACTTATAGATTTTGGTTAAATCTTTTCATTTTTTTAGCCTATTGGTTATAGCCTTTAGCTTAAATAGTAACTTGTAGTTTATAACTTTTGACCCAAATTTTTTTAATTAATTTGTTAGCTATAGCCTTTAGCCTAAATACTAATCTGTAATTTATATAGCATTTGGCCTAAGTTTTTTTTTTTATTAACTTATTGCCTATAACATTTGGTCTAAATAATAACATATATCGCACAGCCTTTTGTGTAACTTTTTCTATTTATTTACATATTAACTTTAACCTTTGAATCAAATATTAACCTATAGAATTAGATCAAACTTTTTCTTTTTATAATCTTATTGCTATAGCTTACGACCTAAATAGTAACCTAAAAATTATAGTATTTAGCTTAATTTTTTTTTATTAACTTATTGACTATAACTTTAGACCTAAATAATAATTTATACGCTATAAGTTTTTGGCCAACATTTCTTTTTATAAAATTTTTTGCTATAACCTTTGATGCAAATAATAACCTATAGTTTATAGCCTTTAATCTAACTTTTTCTTTTTTTCTAATCTATTTGTAATAGTATTTGGTCCAAACAGTAACTATAGCTTATAACGTTTGGCTTAACTTTTTTTGTTATTATCTTATTAGCTAAAGCTTTTTACTCAAATATTAATATATTCCTTATAACCTTTGACTTAATATTTTTACTTTCCTGTTAATTATAACCTTTCACCCAAATACTAACTTATAGCTTATAATTTTTTATCCAACTTTTTTTATTAATTTAGACTATAATAACTAACTTATAATTTAACTCGACTTTTATTAATCTATTAGTTATAGACTATGGCCTAAATAATAACCTATACATTATAATATTTGGCTTAATTTTTTTTATTTTTTTAATCTATTGACCTTAACATTTGACCTATATTGTAACCTATAATTTTTGGCTTAACATTTTTTTTTATTAACTTATTAGCTATAACCTTTGGTCCAAAAATTAACTTATAACTTATAATATTTAAGCCAATTTTTTTAATTAGCCAATTTTTTTTAATTAACCTATAGATTATAGCTTTAACCCCAAATATTACCTTATAACTAATAGCTTTTGACACAACTTTTGTTTACTAAAATATTTTCTATACCCTTTTGGCATAAATTATAACATACAACCTATAACATTGAGCCTAACTTTTTATTTTTATTAAGCTATTGGTCCAAACACTGACTTATAGTTAATAGATTTTGGTAAGACTTTTTCTTTTTACTAATTTATTAGTTATAACTTTAGACCTAAATTGTAATTTGTAGTGTATAACATTTGGCTTAGCTTTTTTATTTTTTAATCTATTCATTATAGCTTTTGGCCCAAATATTAATTCATAGCTCATAAACTTTAGCTCAATTTTTTATTTTATTTTGTTAACCTATTAACTATAAGTTTTGGCTCAAATACAAACCTGTAGCTTATAGATATGGGTTAAGTTTTTTTTTTTATTATTATTAATATTTGGCGATAGCCTTTAGACCAAAAATAACCTACAGCTAATATCCTTTCGTCCAACTTTTTTTTTATTCACCTATTGACTATAGCTTTCAGTCTAAATACTAAACTTTAGCTTATAGCTTTTGACTTAATTTTTTTTATTAACCTATTTGCTATAGTCTTTGGCCCAAACACTAAATTATAACCTATAGCTTTTGGCCAATTCTTTTATTAACATACTGACAATAACTTTATGCCCAAATTATAACCAATAGCCTATAACTTTTAATCCAACTTTTTCTTATTATTAACCTATTGGTTATAGCTTTTGGTCCAAATATTAACCAATAACATATAGATTATAACCTTTGGTCTAAATATAGACTATAGCCTATAGCTTATAGACTATAACTTTTGGTCTACCGTTGATTTCTATTAATTTATTAAGCTTAACAAACGATTTTAAACAAAATTTAAATGTTCATTTAATAAATAAATCAATGTTCATGAACAATTTCATATAATGTTCGTGAAAAAATTTAATAAATACTTGTTTATATTTTATTTTTATTTCTTCCAACTTGATTACTTTATGATTAAATACTTTTAAAAAAATTATAATCACAATTTAAATGAACCAAATATGAGCATAGTATACAAATTTCTTACCGAACAAGAACTGAACACAAACAACCCTATAAATAAAGAAAAAAATCTTGAATGTAGCAATGTTCATTCATATTGCACCCTTATTTAGGTTTAACTTTTTTTTGTTATTGACCTATT